GGTCCTCATTGCTGAACACCTGCCCTAACTCACTACTGATCTACACGGTAGGAATTCCTGAGCGCCTACTATGTGCAAAGGGAGGGAGCTTCTGAGACAAAGTAGACATCCTCTCTGCTCTAATGTGACCTCAATCCAGTTGGGAAATAAATAGGAAAACAAGCAGCAGAAACCTGGCATTCTTCGGGACCATCCTAAACCTGCTAACTTCTCTATCCACTCCCTGCCCCTTCTGTTCAGACAGGTGAAAGCTCATCTGAAGAGCTTTACCATTACGGCTTTACCGTATGTATTAGTTTACAAAGTCCACCATAATAAAGAAGGACAGGCTAGGCAGCTGTAAACAACAGGACTTCATTTTCTCATAATTCTTGGGCTTCCGTTGACAATCAAGGTGTCAGTGGGGCCTCTGAGGCCTCATCTCTTGGCTTGAAGGTGGCTGTCCTCTCCCAGGGCTTCATATGACCTTTCTTCTGCTCCTTTTGGGGTCCACATTTCCCCTCCTCTTATGAGCACATTGGTCATTCTAGAGCAGAGCTCACCCAAATGACCTTATGTTAACTTAATTACCTCTTTAGGGAGTCTTTCAATATAGTCACTTTCCAAGGTAGTAGGGCTCAGGACTTCAGTAGATGAGCTTGGTTGGGGGGTGGGCAGGGGGACAACTCAGTCCACAGCGCTGTATTAATTCCCCTCCCCACCAGCTTTTCCAAACATGCTTTGACATCTTCAATGACGGCGTGTTCCTCCACTTAGACTTAAAACCTTTCTCAGCTTGAGGCAGGGCAAGAACAGAATTCTGTACGTTGTGAGCAAAGGATATAATTATGATGTGAATATTCCCCAGGGATATGCTTTCGGTGACTGAGAAGCACTGGCTAGCAGTGTTTTCAAAGGTTAATTTAATATTCTCATCACAAAATGTTGTGTTTAAATGTGAAACATGGAGAGAAATTTGTCTATCAAAACCAATAATAAGTTGACTGCCTCCATTTTATCTCCCCAATGTTGTTAATATACGTCAAACATCTTCTGGGGCAGGAAGAAATCAAGAGTGAGCCGTAGGAATGGGGATAAAGTAAATAAGAGGATCTTAGCAAGATCCTCTTATATAATTCAGTGAGAGCATCATCTCCTATGGTGAAACTGAAGTGATCCTGTCCATAAATCTCATCAAAGTATGTTAACTTCTCACAAATCTACCACTAGAGACTATGGTTTAAGGAAATGTGTTTGGTTATCAGGTTGACCTGGGGTGATTGTGGCAGATTGACTAATGGACAACGTGTAACCCCAGCTGAACTGAATCACCATGGTCTGGGCATGGAGGATCATCCTGAAGATTGTTACGAGTAGCCATAAAAGGAGAACAGGAGGGGAAGATCTCGGCCTGTTGATTTTCTAGGAGAGCCCTGCTGTGGGTGGTTTTCCTGGTGCAAACTAGGCTGTTCTCTCGTCAGAAGAGCTCAGAACCTCACTGTCACCAGTAATGGCTGCTGCTTTCATCAAGGGAGCTCTGATCTTTACCGTGCGCATCGCTTCCTGGCTCCAGTGTGGATCCCTCAGGTTGGTGGCACAAATCCTTCGAGTCGCCAGCATAAATTTTTCTGGCCACTGGCCTTGGGCTTTCCAGGTGCAGCTCCTCAATACGGACCAACATGAGACATTGCCGTGGGCTCTAGGCCACTGGCTGGACTCGAGGAGGACATTGCCTTGGACTCTAAGCCTTTATTTAGCTGGACTTGTGTGGGAAACTGCTGGGATCCAGGCCCTCAGTTGAATGCTTTGGGCTTCTAGTGTGAGTTTAATCTCTCTTGCACTCCTTGTGTTTGACTCTTTGGGTAATTATCATAAAATAACCTTATAAGTTAAACAAAAAAGAATGAATGGTACTCTGTGATTTGCCATATATTAATTTAAAGCAACTAAATCATGCCATAGGCTGAAATAATACTCAGCTATTCCATATTCACTTTTTTGAGAGGGAAGAGTATTTCCTCTAAACACTAATTATTTAACTGTATTCATCTTACAAACTTAATAATTTTGAAAAGGAATGCTCACATTTTCTTTTTGTAAGCCTGGACAGACAAAAATTCCACTATGGGCATTAAATCCACCTTCTGGATACATAAGTAATATAACTGAGTTCTTAAAAATTTTCAACAGGGCAGTGTCTCACCCACCAAGAATCTCTAGGACATAATCTAATTCCTTAGTAAAATTTCACAGCTCAAACCTTCATATATTGCTAATGACTCACAAAAGAATTTCCCAAATTTCTGGGAAACCAACTGATTGCATAAAAGCCATTGTTTAAATTAAACATATGACAATGTTTATCACTGTTAGTAAAACCCACGTTTTTAGACATTAATAAAAGGTTTGTAAAAAATTCCAGGAATTCAGTATTTCCCAACAATTGCTATCTGTTAAATCAATTAGAACAGCTTTTCCATCTGAATGAAATTTGATGCTGGCACACTAAAGAAATTTTCTATGAGGAGTTGTATTTTTTCATGGAAACACATTTGCCTTCCTCAGGGAATTTCAAATAAATACAAATGTTAGAAGGAACCAGAATATCATTTCCTTGCTCATAAAATTCAAAAAAGCCTAGTAAACAGGGGGCCACAGAATAAATACTAAATTTCCCACAATAGGAAGAGTTGTTCTATTCTAAGATAAAATGGTACATTGATTAGATAATATTTACATTTCCACTTAATTTCAATATTCTTGTAATTTTCTTGTTCTTCAAGGTTACTATACTTGTAAAAATACAATATGTCAGATAGCATGTAATAAGTAAACCTCTTTTTATAAATTCTATAATTTACCAGTGTTGATTTAAATTACTTTTATAATACTGTTACTTAAATATGTTCATTCTTTTTCTTACAGTTCTTATACAACTATAAAAACCAAACTTATTTGCAGATCAAATGATGCCAAAAATAATTTAATACACCAGATTCATTAATCCATTAGGTAATTTTACTGAGCACGTACTATACTTCAGAAGTTACTCCAAGCGCTGGCATTATAGCAGTAAAGATTGTGACTAAAAATCCCTACTCAGAATTGACATCTTAGTAGAGGGAAGAGAGAAACAGAGAAACAGGGAAGGGAAGAGCTGAGAAAAAGGAAAGAGAGAGAGAAGATGAGGGAGGGAGACTATATACAACCTATAGAATTATATCCTGTGTACTGTATACTAGGTGGAAAATAGCAGGGAAGGAAGGAAGTAGGGAACATATGAGGAAAGACTGTCTGTTTCTAACAGGGTGATCATGGAAGCAAGGGTTTGCCCAGTGTTCGAAAGAGGTGAGAAGATGACACACGAAGATAACTAGAAGAACAGCTTTCATTTGCGACAGCCTTTGCAGAGGCCTAGAAGTGGAACGAATGTGGCTTCTCCAGGAAACAGCAAGGAGACCTCCTGGCTAGAATGGCGAACAAAGATGCTGTCACAGCACTTTAACTGGGGTACGGCAGCTGGGGATACTGCAGTCACATGCCAGTTCATGAATGTCCACAAAGGCCGTTTTTAAAACTTTGGCTTTTACCTGCAGGAGATGGAATGCCCCTGGAGGAGGCTGGCCCGAGAAACAGCTTCACCTGATTTGTGTTTTGTTGAGACTGTGGGCAGCTGTGTTACGAAGCCCAGGGCAGATAAAGGACCAGGTAGAAATCTATGACAATTATCTCTGGCAGAGGCTGTGACTCAGACCACAGTAGAACCAGTGAAGCAGGTGAGAAGTGGTCAGAATCCAGTGTATTTCTTACAGTGTGGGATATAAGTATGAAAGAAAGCAGGAAGTCAGAAATGGCTTCAAGGTTTTTCTCCCTCAACAACTGAAAAGAAGACTGTTAATTGGTGCTGTATTGCTGAAACCAAAATGCTACTTGCCATATGAATATGGTACCAATGGTTATATGCCATCCTTTCAATATACTATTGTGTAATAGAAAGACTCAATCACCTGGCCTTTTTTGTGTGTAAAACCATTGGAAAACGTTATTGATAAATGATGTTATCGTTTAATTTTACCCCTGCTATCATTTGAATCTGGAATGACTTTCAGTGGCCCATGTGTTAAGGTTTTGGCTTCCCTGCTTGGTGCTATTGGGAGGTGACAGGACCTTTAGAGGTGGGGTTTAGTGGGAAGTCTTCAGGTCATTAGATGTGAGCCCTTAAAGGGGAGAACCAGTCTCTCTCTTTGTTGTTTCCCGACAATGAAATGACCCTCTTATCACTCTGCCGTTGCTATTTGGTACCCATATCCCTGGACGAAAAGCAGTGGGTCCATTTAATCATGGACTGAACCTCCGAAACTGTGAGCCTCAATAATGCTTTCCTTTTTATATAGGCTCAGAAATTTGTTATAGCTACTGAAAGCAAATGAAACATCTACATGACGGTAATTCACCATTTACACGTTAGACCATCTTATTTTTTGAAATCAGGACAACTACACAAAATGAGTAACACAAAGGTAATCAGAGCAATGGCTCCCGTGTAAAAGCCTTGAAACTCTGTGTTAGGACACTGTTACATGATGCTCTTTTACCCAGTTGATACCAAATGTGCTTATATGTATTTTTTCCCTTTTTTTCATTGAGTTTATTGGTTCTTTTTAGGTATACAGTACAGTTACATCCATCATTGGGATCTTGTACTTTTGCATGACAGGTCTTGGTTCTTATTTTTTCCCCCATAACCCTGCCTTCGCTTCACCCCCTCCATCCTTCCCTATCTACAAAGACTTCGTTTACATTTTTTCCTTTTCTTATATTTTTTCTCTTCCCTTCTTTCCTTTCCCCTGCCCTTCCCACTTCCCCTTTGTATTTTTAGATAATCATTGAGACAGAAACCACAAAACTTTTGAAGAATTCAGGGATAGTTTCATGCCCTAGGAAACATTACTTGATTACAAAAACATCTGTCTCCTGGTACTAACCTGTAAACTCCATTAAAGTAAACTTTCTGTCTCCTTTTGTTGCCTAGTCAGTCCCCAGGGCAAGGTGATTCCAACAGAGTGAGATTCTGTGGGTGACCCCCGGAAAGCCAGGGGCTGAGGAGGGAATGAAACCATCAGCTGACTGGGTCAGGCCCGCAGAAGGAAAATCCAGGAAGTGGCGCCTCAGTGCTGGCATCGTGCATAACCCCACCGAGCTGTCCATGAAGAGGAAGCCATGCTCGAGCTCCGGCAGACTCCAACTCCCTGGGCCCCCTCAGACTGCAGCCACCACAGCATGATCTTTAAATTGCCCTCCTCCTAGTGGGACTCATTCTGGGGGCAGGAGCGGGGCAGAACAGCAGCACAGGTGGTGGCCCTGGAAGAGAGAGGACGTCACCAGGCCACGCTTTTCTTCTGCCACTTCTGGGTCTGAACTGAATGGGACTCGGATGGAAGAAGAACAAAGACCAAAGCCCTAAGAACCCCCTAGACATTATCAATGCTTGGACAAAGATAAATGCAAATGTGGATTCGTCTGAGAGTGAAAATTATGAAAACCTGCTACAGCTCTTTTCCAGAGGAAGTTATGAGAAAAATAACAAGGTGCTAAATTCTCCCTAACAAATTTAGCACATCCGATCAATGGCTTATATTAGGCTTTTAAAAAAAAATCATAATTTAAATTCTAGGCACAGAGTAAGAGAACTGAGTATCTGAAACTAACTTTATTCATACCTAGGCAATAGGGACCTATATTATCCCGTAAAGAATTTCAAATGTAAAATGGACATACATGTTTACATATAATGAAGTTATTTAGGCAGTATTTTTAAGAATTCAGTCTCAAAGATGTATTAAAGCTAATTTTATTAGTAATTTAAGCTATCTGCACAAGATATTTTATTGCAATGTGCACCCAAATGTAGGAAAATTATAAGAAGATAATGTAGGGATGTCACCTATCAATTATAGTTTTGAATTTTAAAAAATCAAAAGATAACACACTGTCATTTCAAAAGCTTTCATTTGGCTACTCAGGAGGGGACAATCATGTTCTCCTGCTCACACACACAAAAGTAGATGGATTTCCTAGTGCAGTGCTCCTGGATTCTCTCTTTGCCTCCCTTTGATTAATAAGATTGGAAGAAATCGGTCTTATAAAATAGGTCCCATTCAGGTGACCCTCTCCTCCCCTCTCTGGAACCTGCTTGCCCCTGAGGATGTGCTCTCTGAGCTTTTCCCTTGTCTATACTATGACTACGGGAGGTGGGTTCTCCCAGTAAATGGTCGCTCTGTCATTTTTTGGCGGAAGTCTGCCTAACTCAGGGAGGAAATATTAGCAAACTCATTTTTCTGAGATCTACTTACTTTGGCTAAGAACGATAGTTTTCACCCAAGTACATCTCCTCCACCTTGTGTACAAAGAGCCAAGCTCTACTTCCAAGCTTTTTCAGGATGCTTTACCTAAGGTTAGGTCATGTGACTTGATTCTAGGCAAAGGAATGTGTGTTGAACACATAGATTAGACTTCTAAAACTGAAAGATAAAAATCTCTGTAATTGTGACTATTAATTGTAACATGTGAACTTGGCAGGATTGAGAAATCCCTAGCAGATTAGCAAAGCACACTTCTGGTGTGTCTGTGAAGTGTTTCCACAGATGACTGGCATGTAGGCCAGCAAACCAACAAGGGTGGCATCATCTAATAGGCTTGTAGCCTGGATGGAATGAAAGGGTAATGAAAAAGAAGCTGGGGTACATCTTTGGAAAACTCCATTCTTTGTGATGTATGCTCTAATCCCAGCACTATGGAGGCCAAGTCAGCAGGATAAGAAGTTCGAGACCAGGGTTGGAAATGTAGCAACTTAGTGAGACGGTATCTCAAAACATAAATACATGCATAATGAATGACGTAGGAAGTAGCTCAGTGCAAAAGCCCTCCATTACACACACTCTCACACACACACACACACACACACACACACACACACACACAGGTTCCATGCTGCTTCGGTGGGTGTCTTTGACCACTAGTTAGTGCCATGTACATGGGACTCCAGTTTTTTCAGCCTTTCAACTCAAAACACATACCAGCAACTCTCCAGGGAGCTTCTAGACCTGCAGTCTCCGACTGGCACCGTGTCCTGGGGATCCCTCTTTGTCGGGAGCCATTCTATATAAATTTTAGGAGAAAATCATTTTATAATTAAAGTATGACTATAGCTATGTAAGGCCCCAATGTTGCCTTACCAGCAAGCCAACTATGGCTCACAGAAACTTTGCCTCAGGTCACAAGTTAAGGCCTCAATGGTCCTGTGATGCTGTGACACTCAAGGGCAAGATAACCTCAGCCGGAGACATTTCAGGGACAAATTTCTGATCAGCTTGATTCATCCCATCTACTATCATAGGAAACCAATCTAAATCAACATAGAATTACGCTGCCCACTAAGTCAACCAATGCTCCTTCCAATTATTGAGCAAACCCAATAAAATAGTGGCTAATTTGGAGACTTTGTCTTTGCCCACTCTGAGGCACTAACCTCCTGTACTTTGAAATTACCCAAGTCTATATTGTCTTTTTTTCTTTAGCCTCCGCCATCCCCCTTTCTAGGCAATCAGAGGATTGATCGCCTTCTGAGACCTCTTCTACAGCGTCCATCTTCCTGGACTGAGCAGTGACCAGTTTCTCTGGTTCTCCAATTTGGAAGCAGACATGGTGAACTCTTCTGCCTTTGATGCTGTAAGCCTATTTAATAAATCTCCTTGTAGGACTATACATATTCTATGGATCCTATTGATTCTGTTCTTCCTCAGAACCATAAGCAACATAATAGTCTTTCACATTCTCTCTTCCCTAGTCTGAGGGGCAATGGAGCCACATAATGCAAGGTCCAATGAGTGGCCATGCTGAAAACCATCTACCAAGCCCAAACTGTGTCTTTGGAAATCACAAAAACAAAAAAGTACACTTTTCTTAAATTACTGAGATGTTCAAGCGTTTTTGTGGACAAAGCAGTATGACTTACAACCAATTCAGTCACATTCTGCGAAGAGTTTTCATTAGTAATATTGCCTCCATCTGTCCAAAAACTGCCAGCCTCTCAATTTTCCCTGATCTTGGGAGTGCAAAGAGGATGACACTGATTCCAAAACCTCCAGGGGACTGTACAGTTCTCTTGGTACAGAAACTACTGATGCCTTGGGTGGGAGGTAGGGACTACCATGTGAGAGCCAGCAGCACCATGGGAAGGCATCTTGTCTGAGTGCCCCCCAATTTGGCTAATGTTCAAGGCAACTTCATATGGAAGTAGAATATAAAGTCATCTCACCACAAACTCTGACTTAAATTCCCCCTTGAATTATACTCTCACAAAGTTCGGCTGTGAGTCACGTTACTACCATGCATGAAACTTGTCACATATCATTTCTAACTACTTCCACGGAGTGGCCCAATTTCATAAATAAGACTATTCATATTGAGCAAACAAACCCATATGCTAACCCTCTTGTCTCAACACAATTTAAATTCTTTGCATGATACAGGGAATTATTCTAAAATTAAGTAAAAATAATTGTTTTGGGGAAATGGGATAAAAATGTGGAAGAAGATTCCTAAATAGGAATGTTCCTCCTGCAGATATCTTTCCTCCTGAGGAAAATAGGAACAGAGTGGATTCACACTGTTATGCAAATTTAAAATGGCTTACTAAGTAGGGCCAGCCCTCTTTCTGATGAATTAAGCATGTACTCATCCCTAATGCGAAATAGCAGATCCTTATTTGCTTTAAACAGCACAGGAATGGTTCCCAGTATAGATCATTATGCATTTAAGGTCCTCCTTTAATGTCTGAGAAGGAGACATAATAGAAGTGGTAGGAAGTTGTAGCAGTGACAGCTAATATTTACTGAGTGCTTGCTATGAAGAGTTCATGGGAGTGCATTTTATATCAGTGAATTTTAGTCTATTTTATAAGGGCTCTTATCTCTATTTTGTATACTCTACAGAAATGCATTGATCGCATTATTTTAAATCCTCTCCTTTGAAATTTTTAAAAGGTCAGTATAGAAATGCCTATTTGAATGTGGTTGTGTTTTGTTAAAATAAGGTTAGAGATTATTATACTATGATATTAATCATAATGAGTATAAATATACAGCTGTAAGGAAAAACATATAGATCTAAAGGCAAATAATCTTCATTGTTTTATGAAACAAATTTTAAAAACCGTGCCCCACTGGAAAATTCTGATCAAATTCACCATTCACCAATAGTAATTAACACATTTTAGGTTAATTTTTGTTACATTTTACTATTCATCGATTCCATTTTCTTTTTAACCCTTCATTGGCCTAATTTCTATGATGTTTGATTTCATAACTCTGTGCTGTTTCTACAATAGGAGCAACACAAATGTGAAGTAAAAGTCTTAATTGACTGTGTTCTATCTCAATCTTGACCTCAAACTCAGCCATTGTGACTGAGATGTCCAATTTGCTACTTGCTGTTCACTAATACGTTTTAGGAGCATGCATGCTCTCAGGCCCTAGAAAATTTAGGTCTTGCATTTAATCATTTAATGAAATTGGGATTTACCTGTTTTAAAAGTTTGCTTTAATTGCCATGTGGAGACTCATGGACAGCAAAAACTTAGTCCGATCAGAAAAGCCACTGTGTTCATCTGGTTGGGAAGATTCATGCACTGGGCTAACGAGGCAAAAGAGAAACAGAGAGGAGAATGAATATTGAGACTATTATGAAGGCAGAGTTAATAGGACTGGCCGAAGGATGAGCTATTTGGGGACAGGGCAGGGACTGGTGAGGGAAGCAGAGAAACCAAGAAGGACTTCTAGCTTGAAAACACGAGTGGCAGTGGTGGGATTTAATATATGATGAAGACTGACATTGGAAGAAAGCTCATCACTCAGCATTAGTTTTGTGATACTCATAAATCATCAATGTAAACAAACTAATTAAGCAACTAGACAAGTGAACCCGAGGTTCACAGGAAATAAATTCAGGAAGGGATCAAATTAATGAAGGGATCTGAAACAGGGGAAAACCACCTAAATAGACTATAAAAGGAAGAAAAGAGACCACATCAACTCAGGTGCAGAGCCCTAAGGAATCCCAACATTTGCATGTTAGACTGAGCAGCAAAACAACAGCACTAGATAAACCAAGCGATGGGAGTGATTCAAGTAGAAAGCCATGGTCGACCTAGCCCAGCGGTGCTGAGAGGTTAACCAAGGTGAGGAGAGGAATGTTTCCATTGGATTCGACGAAGCCGTGGTTACTGGCTACCTGGAAAGCTTCAGGAGTCTCAGTTTGGGAATGTCTTACTCTACCGCTTCAACAAAATACCTGAGGTGAGTAGCTTACTTATTATTTATTTTTGCAATATTGCAGATTGAACCCAGGACCCTCATACTGAGCTACATTTCCAGATTTTTTTTTCATTGAGTTGCCCAGTCTGGGCTCGAACTTTCAACTTTCAGCCCCCCAGAATGCTGGGATTAAAGGTGTGCGCCAACTGAGATTAGGTAGTTCATAAAGCCATTTATGTAGCTCATGATTCTAGAGACTGGAGGTCTAACTAAGCACATGCTGCCAGCATCTGCTGAGGGCCTCCTTGCTGCCTTCCAACATTGCAGAGGGCATCACATAACAAGTGCTTAGTTCTTAGTTCTTACAAAGATACTAATGCCATTGTGGGGCCCCATCCTTGTGATCTCATCTATTCCTGGTTACCCCTTAATGGCCCCACCTCCAAATATTAACATGAATTAAGGTATTAAATGCCCAACACATGAGCCATTCAAACCACACAGGGCAAAGGCCAGAATGCAGAGGGAGGCGGATGGAAGCAAAGGACAACTAGTACTGCCACACTTTTGAAGAAAAATGTTGCTGTAGAAACAGAGAATAACTGAGATAGTAGCTGGAGGAACAGGTATGTGGCATCAGCATGTTTGTATGCTGGTTTTGGAACTTCGATTAAAGGGAAGAGTTTAACGATGAAGGGAAGGAACAAAGCCCCCGTAAGAACTAAGTTCTTGAGAAGGCAAAATGACTCTGCAAAGGTGATGGTTGGCCTTGATACGCACTGGACAGCATTTTCCCCAATTCAAACAGAGAAGAATAAATTGGTGTAAAAGTAGACTGATTTACAAATCAGCTGTTGGGAAAATAGGGAGTTTAATTCTAGGATTTGTTTTCTAAATAAAATTTGATGCGAGATTGTAAGCTAAGGAAAGGAAATGGTTGACACTTTTTTTCATGGAGAGACAGTGACAAGAGGCAAGAATTATGCAACGGGGAGTGGGAAAGTGAAGGGACTGGAGAAGTACAGGACATTTACTTCATAAAGGACAATCCATTTACTCGGGATTGCCATGTTTGATAATATAAAACATAATAACAAGTAAGTGGAAAGTGTCCCTGGCTTTTTTCACCGCAGCACTCCCCATGGTGAAACTGGATGATTTAACTGGTCATGCTGTTGTCATATTTATTGCAATTTCATTCTTACCATTTCCAGTTCAAGAGGAACCCTTTTCCATGGAAAGGTCTGTTTTTGTTGTTATTGTTGTTGTTGTTTGTCAATGGCTTTGAATAGTTTGTTTGTTTTTCCCTAACACCAATAGAGACTGTAACCAAGTTCTCCAGATGTATTTGGAATCTGTCAGAGAATCAACTTAACTTAAAATAATGGACGAAGAGAGCAGTCCTTAATCTCTATCCCTCCAACAGTGATAGCAACAATAACAGAAAAGCAAATATAGAATTGTACATGAACTGATTAAGAGGACCATTAAAGCTAAAGAATATTGGAGTTGGAGAGGCCCGGGGACTTCCTCAAAACCCACACCCCATTTTACAGAGGAAAAATCAGGCCAGAAGTAGTCTAATCTGAACTTTCACATTAGTTATTTATAACATGGAGGCAAGAATTTATTCCGGATAATTCTATAAAAACTAGCCCAGAGCCTGGCTTATGAAAGATAATAAATAAATGTGATTCTTCAGACTCTGCTCCCTCCTGGTGACCTTACTATGGGTTGAGAGAATCAGTCAAAGAAAATATATTATTGCTGTAGCCTTGGGACACTCTGTGTGGTTACTGCTCAGTGGACATTTAGGAACTAGGACCAATAGTAAGGCATGCCAAAATGGTGATCAGTCACGCTTCAGTCTTGACCTAAACAGCAAATTCGGCACAGAGCTGGGATTAATGCCCTGGCACCTGTTCTTTGCAGTCCTAAAGCCATCTCCCTAAACTGTACTCCCCTTCTGTTGACCAGCTCCATGGGCGTAGGCTTTGCTGCAACATGCAAAAAATGTGTAAAAACATCCTTCTAAACAGCAAACAGAAAGGACAGGAAGAAGGCCTGGTTTCTCTCCCCCTGGTAGTTTTGACAAGAACACAATATGAAGATGTTTGAATCTAACAGGTGTTATGGGCAATATGCAGTACTCTCCATGTCTTGGCTTATAAGGGACATCCTCCCTCCGTCCCAGTTTTCTGGTGAAAGAGGACAAGATGATCTTAAGAAGAACAGAAAGAAAAAAAAAAAAGCACTAATGCACAAAAAACCAAAAATGAACAACTATGTGAAAAAACATTTTGTTACAGCAAAAGGAAACAGATGTATTGTGGTGAAGAGTTTTCTGTTGGTTTTGGCTCAAGTCCTAAGTGAATTTTTCTAAGCTAACTTTCCATATCGCGCCTCTCCAAACATTTTGTGACATAAAGTTGTCTGGAAGGGTTCTGGTTAATGATAAGAGCAAAGGTGCCCAAATTAAAACATCAGAATTACAATCAAAGGCAGAAATAAAAAGAAGTCATTTGATAATCCAAGGGGGCATAAAAGAAAAAAAATGGTTATTTATAGCCCTGTACTCTTATTGTTCTGAAATTCGAGAATCAGGAGAGGAACAAAGAGCAAAGAAAGGAGCATGGGTAGGTTTATGCAGACTTTCCAGAAAAACTTTTCCATAATTTTCCATTTCCATCTGCACTGTTAGGAGCAGAAGGTACAGGGGTTGTTGGACAGTGAAAGTTCTTTTTCCAACCTGCAGAGCTAGTACGTGGCCTCAGGGGAACAATGCCACGCACTCTCCAGGCAGGAAATGTGGGCTATGAAAGCAAAAGTGAGGTAACAGCGACAGCCTGTGAGTTGAAGTGAACCAGGAAATCAGTCAGAGGCAAAAGAAGTGAAGGTGCAAATCTGAGGCAAGTCAGTGAATGAGAAAGTGAAGATCTAAGACAGAGACCCCTGGTGCAATAACAGCATAGCCTTATAATTGTAGCCTGGGCCAGACTGCAGTAACAGACGCTGCACTTTAGGTCTGGCCAGCTACAGGACGTAGGGGAGTTGCTGCAGGCCTTTAGGTTCTGTTTCCTCATTTGTGCAATGAGAATTCAACAAGACAGGCTATGTAAATGCTTGAACAAGTGGATCCTGTATACACATTAAGTGCTCAGAAAGGAAGCTCTTTGTTACTATTTATTATCCACCACATTTATTAATGATCACTATGGGCCAGACACAGTGGCATATGCTGAGATGCTAAGCACGACTAGAAAATCCTGCCTGGTCAAAGTCTGGAAGTTCCTCTGTAAGGCTGCCTGAGCTACAGAGGATTCAGAATAAATCTGCTTTGTTCATTCATTCCTATTTTAGTCTTGTTTTTCCAAGGAATTATTGTCCTTACTGAGTCATTGCTTTACATGTATAAAGGAACAGTCGACAGAAGAGAAAAAGGTTTGAATTCACAAATAAGTAAGGGGATCAGAGTTGGAGAAATGAGTAGAAATTCATTTTTAATATATAGATGTACAAAGAAATGAGTTAGTATAAATGAGCATCTTTTCACTGTTAGCGCTTAGAAGCACGGACAGTAAGTAGCTATAAACAGCCAGTGCTCAGATCTTAGTTTCTAAATAACATTTCCCAATAAAGAAAGCAGGACAGGGTACTGAAACATAAGAGGAGACTGGAGCATCTTGTAGATATCAAGGAAGTTCCAAAAAATCAAAAGAATGGCAATTAAAGAGGATGTAAAAATCAAAGTGCCCACAATGATGAATGTAACTGTACTGTATACCTAAAATGTACCAATAAACTCAATGAGGGGAAAAAATTAAATCACCACATCCACATTTCCAGTTCGCCTACATGATAACGGCTATCTCTGAACCTAGATTCCGAAGCCTTCATAGGAAGGATCCTAGCTTTCTTCCTCTAAGTGTTCATCACAGGGCCTAACTCAGAGTAGGAAATGATGAATGTAACTGTACTGTATACCTAAAATGTACCAATAAACTCAATGAGGGGAAAAAATTAAATCACCACATCCACATTTCCAGTTCGCCTACATGATAACGGCTATCTCTGAACCTAGATTCCGAAGCCTTCATAGGAAGGATCCTAGCTTTCTTCCTCTAAGTGTTCATCACAGGGCCTAACTCAGAGTAGGAAACCCTGTGTGGATCATCCGTGGGCAGTGGTTTGACTCAAGAGTTTTCAACTTGATGATGGTGGAAAAGCAATACGCACGGAGAAGTTGTGCTTCTCACTTTGAATTCTCATCCTTCCCTTGGCTGGTGATAGGTGGTTGGATAGTCTCTGCTGATGCTGGCAGCGGTGAGTTTCAGTCCAGCCTTGCCCACAGCGATGAGGGTGAGAAGCAGACAGGCAGGAGGCACTCACCGTGTTCCTGAGCTGTGATGGTCTCTACTTCCGCTGTTTAACATGCATTTCTAGTTCTGAGATTTTCAACTTGAGAGAGTGTATTGAGACAACCCCGTCATAAACTCAAGAGCATCTGTGAACATACTGAACAAACTGAGTGATATTTTTAAGTTTTTTTGTTTTTTGACATTAAAAATTTTATATTCTGTTCTCTCCTACTTTTATTATCCTGACCCTTTCTTGAAGTCTCCCCCCTTCTCCCTTATGAACAACACACGTTGTCCTTGGGAATCTTTCAACAGACTTCGGAGGAAGTGTGATCCCTCCAGTTTTAAAGGGCAAACTGTGCTTCAGCACAGTTACAATTGCTCTTGTGGCAGAGATGAGGTCCTAGCCCTGTTTGTCTGGTGCCAGAGTTTCCTCTGCCCCACGCAGTAGAACACTTCTGCTTCAAAAGGCATGGGAGCTGGACAGAGGGAAACATCTTTAGGTTAGGACATGTGAAAATAAATATCCCAGTACGTTATCCCACAGGAAATCAATTTTAAAATAATAATGCTAGCCTTTGCACATAAGATAATATGAATGCTCTGTGATGTTTTGAGGTCCCCAACTTTCACAGTCATGTGGAACTTATTTTGGAAGGTTCCTCCCTTTTCGGTCACAGTGTTACTTAGGAGCTCATGGTAATAAAAGAACACATGCTGAAGCACTGAGGGAGGCGGCACCAATATTTAAAAACACAATCAACAGACCAATGTACACTGAAAACTATAATGTGAATTAAACCAGGTATGTTTAATCTTCTTCAGATAAAATATCTACTATAACCATTAGAGTACGAGTGATCGAAAAACAAGATGAACGTTTAAGTTTTAAAAGTTCATTGGATTGCAAGTGCAAGGACCCAAGTTCAATCCCCAGTACCCAATAAAATAAATAAATAAAAATAAAAGTTCACGGGAGTAAAAGATGCATTGCTGTCAATCCTCCCCCAAACAGGCCCTCTTGGCATCAAACACGCTCATTCCGTTACCACTGCCACTTTCGGAAGCAGTCCTGAGGTCCTCGGTCACGCGCGCCCTTCGTGGCGCTGTCACGGGGGCTTCAAGGTCCTGAATTTATTCAGAACTTTTACCATTCCTAATCCTTTTGACTTTAGGCAAGAGCCAGAAGTCGCGTGGTGCCAGATCTGGTGAGTGAGGTGGGTGAGGGAACGCCACGCTTTTACGAGCTTGCCTTCCCATTGGATGGCACCAGCACCAGTCAGCACACCTCACAAAGCTGTTCGTGAAAGGAGACTTCAGCAGGTAGCAGGAACAATGGCATGAGTGCGTCAAAACTTAGGGAGGAGGAACATTTGAAGGGGAGGGGATGAACAGCAATGTGCCTTTTTACTGTAATAAATTTTTAAATTCAAAAATTAACTGTATATTTTGATTACCCCTCAGGTATATCATTTTTACTGTAATAAATTTTTAAATTCAAAAATTAACTGTATATTTTGATTACCCCTCACAGGTATATCAAGATAGGAGGGATATTTCCAAATATATATTTTTTCACTTTTTATAATTATATTTAATCTTTTTATTTTAATGTAATATATGTAGATTTAAATAAAATATAAAAAGCACTTTTACTTCTATGAAAAAATAAAAGAAAATTTTATAACAAAATAATTACAGATAGCAATGATTAATACACTGAGTACATAATCCTAAAAGAATGGCCAAAATGTTTCTCAGAGTACAAGGCAGAGACAAGAAAAGACTCTTACGGAGAAGAAACAAAAGCAGAAAATCTTCTCTTTAATGAACTGAGAAAGAGTATAAATGAAACAAATTAGCATACATCTTAAAATATTTTTGAAAGAAGGGAATTGGTAATGTGGGGAAATATTTGGATTCCTTCCTATTTGCCATTTATCTATCTTCTATTTTCTATTTTGCACTCTCTTCTATTTTCTATTTTGCACTCTCTCTTTCCACACATGTGTGTGTGAGCCATGCGATATTAATCTGACTTATTTCACTTAACACCATAATTCACTTTCTGAAAACCTAAGGCTGGACTCCCTGTGAATGAGCTGCATGTGTTGGTGACTAGATAACGAAAGTGATGTCTGGGTTGAAAGCTTCTTAGGGAAAGTCAGTTGGTGCTCCGTGAACTGGGGTCCCGCCTGCTCTGCTAAAGCTGCTCCCCGCTTCTGACTCAGACATAAACATGCTGCTGGGAACAGGCAAGTCAAAGTTGCACCTGGCCTTCATGAATTCAGTTCATCCTCTACACCAAAGAGCCCTGTGGAGAACTACCAATTTTGTCTGGCCAGGAGGAGGCTTGTGGAGAGGGTTCCCCTGAGACCAGGACTTATCACTAACCTGTCTTCCAGTGATATTTCAAAAACTGTCTTAGGGAGCTCATTTTACTTTGGTCCCTGGTAAGGCCAACCCTTGGAAATGTGATTTGACCATACTGTATGGGATGTCAATTATATGGAAACTCTTCGTGTGTTTTGATCTCAGAATCTCCCTAAATTACATCAAATTACCATTTCAGATACCTTTAGGTACCTTTAGATCTAAAACTCTTGACCCTTACCCCCAATAGTTCCTCTTGAGATCTTCTCCATCTTAGAAAATGACAATCCTGTCTGGCAAGTTACTTCTTTCTTGACTCCTGTCTTTCACGTCTCATACCAAGTGCATTACAGAACACTATTTGGTCTATCTTCAAAACACCCTGATAAGCTGTGGTGGCTCATGCCTGTAATCCCAGCAATTTAGAAGTCTGAGATAAGAGGAATGTAGCTTCGAGGTCAGCCTGGGCAGCTTAACAAAACTGTATCTCAAAATGAAAAAGATTAGGTACATACTTCAGTGGCACAGGGCTTGCTTAGCATTTACGAAGTCCTATGTTCAATACCCAGTACTGAAAACATACACACACAAACAAACACACACACACACACACATTGAGGATCCAACAGCTTCTTATCTATTGCTACTTCCCAACACAAGTTGCTATTTTCTGAATTACTGCTATAGCTCACCGTCACCTTCCTAAGCTTCTATACTTGCCAGTAAAGCAGTGTAGTTAGAATAAAACTTTGAAAACACATCAGTGAGTGCAGCAGCACATTCGTGCAATCCCAGGCCTCTGGGAGGTTGAGGCAGGAGGCTCACAAGTTCAAGCCTAGTCTGAGCAACTTAGCCACACTCTTTCTCATTTGTTTTTAAGGAGAAGGTGGTACTGGAAATGTAGCTCAGTGCAAAGGCCATATGTTAATTCTTAGTACTGAAAAGAACCCAAAACCGGAAACCACATCATATAATTTACACATGGCCCTGTTCAAAATCTCCAAAGGATTCTTCTGCTACCCAGAGTGAAATCCAAAGTGTCCTCACCCTTGACTACAAGGCCATGGACAATCTTCCTCCCATCTGTGATCTCATCTCCTTCACTGTTCTTCCCATGCTCTACCTTTGATGTAGCTAAACGTCTCTGCTGACATTTAGCACAGAAAAGAAACCCTTTCTTCAGAACCACTGTGCTCATGATTTCCTCTTCCTGGCACAAGCAGATCCCAACCTCCATATGGATCCCTCACCTTTTTCCAGGGTTTTACTCAAACATCTCATCAGAGCAACTGACTATATAACACTTTAGGTCAAATAAGTCACCTCCACACTCTACCGCCTTCCTTTATCTTCATGGTGCTCGTTATTGCCTGACACAAGCTAAAACGTTACAGATTTCTGTCCTCTGCAATGCCAGAGTGGAAATTCCACAGACCAGGAACCTGACTTCATTTGTTCTTGGCTGTATACTCAGAGCCTGTATACTCAGTAACTACCTCAGGCATGAAAGTGCTCAGTAAATACTGTTACAAGTGAAGAGATACAGAGATGTTTTCTCCACAAGGATATTGTATCTTTGGGCAAATGTAACAAGGATTCCTTATTCTCCCCAAATAGCCACCAGCTCCGGGTTGCAAGCAACACCCTGGAAAAGTGAGCAACTGTGAAGGAAGAAAACCACCACCATGGGGCAAGGATTTAGCTCAGTGGTGCTCGCAAGTGCAAGGTCCCAACTCTGAGCCCCAGAACCCAAACAAACAAACAAAAAACCCCACAAAAAACCCTAAACATACAAACAAACAACTGTCAGCACAAATCCAAATGGAAATGTGACTTTTTAAAAATCACGAACTGTTTTCAAGCTTCTCCAAAAAGTGTGGCCAGTTTAAAGATTTTATAGGCAGTTATTTTTTCTGAACCATTTCAGAGCAAGATACAAGCAGGATTATCTCATTACTACTAAACACTTCATTGTATGTTACCCCCCCGTACATGGTGCTGTTCTACAAATATCAACGTACGCACCCCAATCATGAAATTACCGATTCAATACACCAACCTATTCCACAGATGTCGTTTGATTTTTGCCAACCATTTAATTTTCCTTTCTAGCTCAGGAGCCAATCTGGGATCACTTGCGGCATTTAGGTGTCATGTCTCTCGAATCTGTCAGAGTGGATCTATGACTTCCTCTCTCACAAGCGTACGAGTATAAGAGAGCATCATCACCCTTTCACTGTCGGTTGCCTCTCAGCTGGGTCCACCTAGTGTGTTCTCATGTCCAGGCCGAGACCATGTGTTGCTGGCTGGAATGTGACAGAAATACCAACTGCATCTGCAACCAGTGATGTTCACCTTGTCTACTTGGTGCCTTCCAAGGTTCTCTTCAATAAAACCACCAATTTCCCTTTGATAAACAATAACCATTTTCTTTCAGAAGACACTTCAAGAGCTAATATCCTGCTTATATCAAATACTCATCCACCTGCCTGAATCAACCACACTGTCAAATGGTGACTTTATCTCCATCAATCCCAGTTAGTGTGCATTTCTATCATCAGGAAGTACTGGTCATCTCCCCCACGTACTTCATAGTTTACTTACATTACTATAGAGACACCTTCTATTGAATAGGTTATACCCATTTAGTATTATTACTTATTTTGATACCCAAACTGTCCTGGTCTTGGCCCAATAGGAACGAATGTCTTCCGGCTGGCTCTTGTGTCCTTTTCACATATTACTGTTATGCTTTGGGCATTTCCCTGCAGGAGGTTCTAGATCACTATATTTTCCCAGCCCAGGCCAGAATTAGGCCTGGTTTCTTTTAACTGAGAGTGGTATTTAGAAAGCAAGATCTTCTGGCCATTTGATGTGTCCCTTCCTTCTGGCCTCTGAATGGAAAAAGCAATGATAAAAATGGTGTATGTGTGTGTGTGCACACGTGCACACAATTTTTAAAGTTATTTCACACTCACCTTTAACCCAATCCAAGCCTCGATTCGTTACAGCTTTCTTTCCGTATTTATAAATTCCTTCTCCATTAGTAAGATGCCTGATGTTTTTCTTATTTCCTGTTTCACTTAATGTTTTTCTTTTTTGCCCAGTACCCTGTAGCGCGCAGTCTCTCAACCACGATTCTACCTCTCAACCCTGCCATCTCTTCAGTCTTTCACTCTTCCAAGGGAAAGAAAGGACAAGGGGGAAGTCACACCCTGAATGGCATGGATTCTCTGAGTCCTGCAGCTGAAGAAAAAGTGCAAAAAGATAGAGAGCTGTGAGGGAACCACTGCAGCTTACACAGGCATCTGTGAGACTCTACCTGGGTTTTGCAGCCACTGGGGTCCTCCTGCAGATCCCTGGTGGTTCGGGAGCCAGCAGCCAGGCAGTCTCCAGTTTTGTCTCCTTGGCATTAAGCTCTATAAAAAGCACTGTCCCAATTGCCTAGAAGCCTATTTTCGAAACTGAATAAGGTAGGAAGACACACAAAGCCAGCACACTAAATACCATAGAGACAAGTTCTAAGTAATTCCTGTGGCTGCTTCTAATCTGGGTATAGCTGGAGCTCTCTGCTCTCACCTGACAGCCCCGAGCTGTTTGTACGGCTGCCCAAAGACAGAAGTTGAGCTGGTAGGAGTCCACTAACAGACATATGTGCTCACATTGAGGTCCTGGGGAAAAACTGGGGTTTTTTTGTTTTTGCTTTTGTTTTTTAATCCCCCTGAATCCTGAAAGCATCAGATGGGAAATACAATGTGAGTAATTTGAGAATCATCGTACAAACATTTTTAGATGCTTTATATTTTTGGAATCTCAAAACAAGAAAACCACTGGTGATAAGGAATAACCACCACCCAAGCATTTAATTAGCAAGGAATTATGCCTCGTTACCGTTGGAGAACTCCACTCTAGGGAAACTGTATCCTCTGCTGAGGAGTGCACAACTGGAGAGCATCCGTAACCCAAACAAACCTCCCCTGCCTGTTGGCACTGGGAGTCCTCGCGGCTACCAGTTGTGACAACCAGCAGCACAAACACTGGAGAAATGGCTCAGCCACTTAGAAAACACCCATTCTGCGAGAAAACAAATGCCGCTTAGCTGGCCCAACTGGGAGGAAAGAATCCTGTCCTAGCCTCAGCCACACCCGGGAACGTGTTAGAAATGGGGGCCCTACCCAGAATGCCTACTACATCAGAAACTCCACTGAAGCAAGGCCTACCGGATGGAGCATTTTTGGGTTTTAGCTTGCTATACTGAGGATTGAACCCAGGCCCCTCTCACTGGACTACATCCCAGCCTTTTAAATTTTTACTTAAATTTTGAGATAGGCCTGAGTCACAAAGTCGCCTAGGCTAGGCTTGAATTTGAGATCCTCCTGCCTCAGTCTCCCCAAAGCGCTGAGATCACAGGTGTGCGCCACCATGCCTATCGGTCTTTTTTAAAAACTGAAGTCTGGTAGCCACCATGCTACCTATTACCGAAGTGGCGGAAAGGACTGAGAGAGCGACCAGCCCTACACTTAAGCCCGGGGCGGGTACTTAGGGAGCTCAGTGTAGTCCTTCCAGCAAATGAGAGGGCTGTTTACAAAAGCGACACACTTTTTGCTGTATTTAAGGCGCAGGAAGTTGTTCTGTACGAAGAGGTCACAGCCGCTTCCCCTTCTGCCCTCACCCGGGAGCGAGCGGCACACCGAGGCTCAAATGCAGGCCCGGCAGGGGTCGCTGCCGCCCAGGAAGAGAGACCCAGCGAGCGTGGCAAGAGAAACCCAGAAGCTTTGACATCACGCTAAGCTCCTCCTTGCACGCACACATTATACACACACACACACACACACACACACACACACACACAAACATATACAGACACGCGCGCACACACACGGACCGCGCACTCCTCTCCGGAGACGGCCCCTCCCGCGGCAAGTGTGCGCCCCGCGTAGCCACCCCGGGT